AGTCACAGTCCCTCTACTCCCCTTCTTGGCTCCCAGAACAGGAAGAACCATCTGTCCTCACCCCAATTTCACTGCCAAAGTCTAGTCACTTAATTCATGGACATTGAAAGCAGCACTGTCCTGAGATTGGCAGATTGCACCATGCTTTCCTTTGCATCATTCCCTGAAGCACAGGACCTGAACTACTCTTCCAGCTTATAATGACAAGCCAGGGCAAGAGCCCTGGCAAGAAAACACAGTGGTGCTCATTTTCTCACCCCAGGTCCTAATCTTTCCCCAGGTCAAGTTTCCTGTAAATGGAACAGTCATTCCCCAGGGGAAGGGTACTGCTGACTCTTGGTGGAATAAGGGCTTGGTGGCTACCTGTTCTTGGTCATTCATCCTCTGCTCACCTTCCTCCTAGGTCAGTGTTCTTTCCTATTAAGCCAGTCTAACCCCTACTGTATCCCAAAATCCTGTAGGGCAGCATCTTCAGGACACTTTTGGCTGCCAAGAACAGAAAACTTAATTCAATCTTAAGGAAAGAAAACAATGTGCTGGTCCACACTGCTTACACAGGTGGATCTGGCTTTAGGCCCATTAAGGTATACTGGCTCAAACAGTGGCTGTCAGGACTTTCTCTTCATCTGCCAGTTCTGCTCTGTCTTTGTGATGGCATGACTGCTCAACATCCCTTCCTCTCAGCAACCTCAGAGAGAAGAGACAACTTATTCCTATGGCTTTGAGCAATGTCTCTGCACTGAGCTTCACTTCCCTCGCTGACCTGACCTATCCGTCCTTGAAGCAATCCCTGTGGCCAGAGGAACAGAATGATTGGGCTGGACTGGAGGGGGAAATTGGGGATCAGTTCATCCAGTTCCACAGAGACTGAGAATGGAGCACAGATGACTGCCCAATGACCAGGAGGATGGATGTGTAACTGATGTCCATTCCAAATCATCACATCAAGAATACGAGGCCTGGCACGGGAATACCTGGGCTCTAGGAAAATTTATGGACGTCTTTGAGCTGGTCCTGCTGCGATGCCCAGTACAGGCTCTGAAAGGTGGTGGTAAGGTCCTGTCTGGAAACCAGTGGACTTCAACCTCTCTATCTGTGGGTCCTCTTCCTTAGTCTTGGGCTCTGGCTTCCACACATCATGGCCATAAACAAGCTCTGCCCTTCTCTTCCTTCTTCTCTCCTTCATATGATCAAGGGATGAAGCCACATCACCCACTTTCCAGAAGCTGAGAGGCCCGAGGTTTCCCTGTGTGGCCCCTCAGAGCAGATCCCGCTGAGAAGAGGAGTTCTTTGCTGCTCCTGGCCCTGGCTGAGTGCCCCTGCCCTGGTTACCTCTAGGATTTACTCTTATGTGAAACCCTCCCTGACAATGCCAGGTTTGGACATTCCCAGGATGCAAGTATTCAGACTACTTCTCCAGGTCAAAGGAACACACACCATGACATGGAAGAAAGCACACTTTTATTTCAATCCCCGCCCTCCCAGGACCCAAACACCATGGCCTGGTATCCAGGGTGCAAGGTGCACAAGAGCCCGGTGAACACAGGTCAACAATGCAGTGTCACAAATCCCTGCCAAGGGGCAGCTCACCCCGCCTCCCCTAAGAGAGGTCCCTGGGGTCCACTGCAGAGGGGGATGAGGAGCAGCACAGAGAAAAGGTGCCAGCTGAGCCCTGGGACATGCTGTGGAGTCCCTGATGTGGGAATGAAGCAGCAGCTGTGGGTGGTCCCTGCTTTGGCTGTCCTTCATCCCAGCTACAGAGCCATCCCAAAGGTGAGGACAGCCGCAAGGGGGGTTCTCCTGGTACAGGCCAGCTGGCAGAGGTAGTATAAACACATCTGAAGGTGGGGCGTTCCCAATGACCAAGCCAGGTGCTCTCATGGGCTGGGAGCTGCCTGGGTCACAGAAACAACAGGACAGGAAGGTAGGGAGGACTTGAGGCAGAGCTTCAAGTCTAGATAACTGACTGGACCTGGGAAAAAAAGACTCCACAGAAATGGAAAGTACAGGGCAGAAAGAGGACACCGGGCACAGGGAGAGAGGAGATGAGGGCAGAGAGGAAGACAGAGACAGAGAAAGGAGGAGGCTGAGGTCTAAAGAGGGGACTGACTTAATGTTTCCCCACTCACTAGCTCTGTGACCTCTGGGGTGGGGGCCCCCAAGTTCTCCTAGCTGGGGAGGAGGACAGGGCTCTTTTCTGCCAGGCTCTTCCCTCATCACATCTGGTCATTCATATGAGATTGAGTCAGCCATCCTAGGAATGAGGCTTAGTCAAAGATAACCTGCTCAGACCTGCCCACTTGACCTCCACCCCAGGCTGGGTTTGGCCCCTAGCTCTTCCTCTTCCTGGGAGATGCCCTGCCCAAGCCAATCCTTCTGCACCTACTTCTGGACTCTTCCCTGAGGCTCCCAGAATCACAAACCATTAGCTACTCCAGGCCCCTTCACTGGCAGGGCAAGGGAAGGGAGGTGGGGTAGGGTAGAAAGGGAAGAGGCAGGAAATTGAGAACTACATCCATACTGTCAGGTCCAAGGCCAGCAAGGCAAAGCCTGCCCGTCAATCCCTAGGACCTAAGTACAGAGAAAATCTTAAGGAAGATGTTTAAGAATGTAAATAACTTTTCAAAATTTTTGTGTGTTTGCATGTCAGGGTTTTGTTGTTGTTGTTGTTGTTTGTCTTTTAATTTATAATTCATCATGTTTGAACACAATTTAAAATGTTTTTTTGTTAAATTGCACTAAATCATTCACAATAGCAACACCACCTTGGGTAACCAGAACTTATTAGTGCTGGATTTTAGACTTATACATTCTTTCTTTACCTTTAAGAAGGAGGTAGACTACCACTAAGCTTGTAGAACTTACAGATCTGTTTACAAAAAGGCAGAGCAACTTCCAGGAGCACCTAGAATCCTAACATCTGCTACTCCAGGAGTCCTAAGATTAATTTCTACAGGCACTAGGCAAGTACATAAGGGGTTTTCAGAAAATCCTGGTGTCTTGGAGTCCTTGGGGAGTAGTAGAACCATGAGATTTAAAGCATGATGCCCTGGATAAAGGGGAATGTCACTCTTTAGCTCAGCAGAATGTTGCTGAGTGGTGATGCAAGCCCTCTGCAGAGTTTTTGATTTCAAGAGAAGAGGGAAATTTGGTACACATTTTAAAAATGTGGTATCTCTTGATTTTTTTAAATGTTAGCTGAAAACAAAAACACCTCCCTAAACCAAACAAAATAAATCTGATGGCTAGATTATAGCCTGGCTTTTATTAAATCTTAGAGATTCTAAGATTTAAGGGATCCTAAGATTACTTAGTTCTATGATTCAGAAACCTTAACATGCATGTATTTTCAGGGAACTTGTTAAAATGCAGATTATGATTCAGTAGGTCTAAGATTCTGCATTTCTAACAGGCTCCCAGGTAATGTGGATGTTGCTGGTCCACCTACCACTCTTAGTAATGAGGATTTAGTTCACCCTTCCATCTAGGAACTCCCTCTGACTGTCATATCCCTGGTCAATGACATCTCTGGTTCTTCTTGCACACCTCCAGGGACACTCATTGCATATGGTGGTAACCTGGGCGGTGGGTATTGCTACTAACTTCCTCCATGGTCTGTAGCAATGGTGAAGGAACCCAAGATTCAAACATGTCAAGGGCCAGGCTCTGGAACATTATAGTTTCACAAAGGAAATTTCAGCTGGGGACTTGCCAGAACAGGGAGTTGACACCTGTTGCAAAGATCTAAGCACAAAGAATTTTCCATCTAACTGTCTGCTCATTGGTGCTCAATTAAACAGAGAAAACTACTATTCTTTGGTTCTGGTTAGTAAAGGTTTGGTGCAGTTTACTTTCCTTTCCTCAAATCCTTAAAGCAAGCTTTTCTCTGCACTTGGGCAAGTTACCTGATTATGCCCACAGAAAGAGCAAGTTTCTGACTGGTGGGGATGGAGATAGGAAGGAGGCTTGGGGCTAAACAGAAGCCCTAGACTCCTCAGGCCTTGTGAAAACCTCTGCTGTGGTGGAACACAAGGACTCTATTGCCTCTTGGTTTGGGGCATCCAATCCCAGATCCTCCTTCCTGGGGCCCTGAGAGACCCTGGAAAGTGCAGAATCCACCAATTCAACATCCCCTGATGTTGGGGCTGGAGGCCACATGCCATAGAGTCTAATATCCCAAGGCCAGCCCTCAGGGCCACAGGGGCTGTGGAAACCACTTAGGCCACCTCCCCCTCTATTTTGCCATTGAGGGGAATCCAAGCCTGGAGAGCGCATGAGACGCCCAAGATCATGTGGCTGGTTTGCAACTAGCTCTTGTAAAGGCTCAGAAACCTTTGAGGCAGAGCTGCATTGAACCCACCAGCATTAACCAGACTTTCAGTCACCTATAGCAGCAAATTTCAGGAAAAGGTTCTTCCAGAAAAATCCTGCAGAAAAGAGAAGTTTCTTAGGTAGAACTCAAGGAAAGAGGCCATAGGGGTTCACCTAAGAAGGAGAGGGCCATGGATCAAAATTTCTTGGAGGAAGTTAGGGGGTAGGACTTCTGCTCTAACTGAATCCAAGGGCAACTTTCACCTTGTCCTCTAGTGACTGTTGCCTCCTAGACTTCTGTCTCTTGCGTGTGCACAGCCTGAGAGGCTTGATTTATGGGCTGGGGAGGGGATGGGGTCAGGGAAAGAGTCACAGTAGGTCCTGATTACAGGATTTCCTAAACCTGGATTTCTGGGCCCTTCTAGACCTAATGAGCCAGAATCCCTCCAGTGGGTGCTTCTTCCCTAGGGGCAATCCCTGGGTTTAGGAACCAGCTTGGGTTGAGTCAGAAAAGGATTGCAACACCTGGCTTGGGTGGGCTGTTCGGCAGGCAGTGATAGGCCTCGCCTGTCACCTAGGAAGCATTCCTTAGAAATGTGTGGCCCCTGAATCTGATGGGGGGACAGCAGCTAGATGTGGAAGCCAAGGAGGCAGCACCTGTCCGGGGCCGCGGTGCTGGGCGCTGGGCTTCACTTCCCCAAGAACTGGCCCGGTCTCGCCTTCTCTAGCTTCTGGCGCCGATCCGGTGGGATCTCCTGCAAGCTGATGCCATGGTTGCTGGCCCTGCGAGGGAGGGGGCGGTGGCCTCAGGAAAGGGAAATGGAGAACGGGAGGGCCGTGCCAAGGGATCAGACACAGAGTGAGAGGCAGGGAGAGAGGTGAAGGATCCAGGTCAGCCCGTCCGAGTCCCTCATCCTTATTCCCGACCGTGATGTCAACACCTCACCCTTGTTGCAGGTCAGGCGGTTTCGGGATGGGTTTGTTGAAGCCGCGTTTGCCCACTAGCCAGTACGTGTCCTCGGCGCCCTTGCCCTGGGGAGACACGGGGAGGAGAGGACTTAAGCGGACCCACGGCGAGGGGGGACCTTGAGGTCTAAAGGGAACTGGGAGACTGGGGGTTGAGAAGTGCCAAGTTTATCTTCCAGTGCGGGCTCAGGAAGGGGCGGGGCCTGGGAAACCTCCGAGAGGTGGGGCCTCCGGAGGGAGGCGCAATCTGACCCCACCTTTAGTTCCGTGCGGCCTCGAAGCTCCATCTGGTAACCCTCGGCCAGAGCGTTGAGAATCCGTACGGTGCTCAAGTTCACGTGGATGCGGTAAGCTGGGACGGTGGGAGTACGCTGTGAGCTAAGGACTCACCTCCCGGTCCGTTTCTCCCCGATACCCCTCCATACCTCCTCAAACCCTCCTGCTATACCCCCACCACCACCCCGTCACACTCACGCAGCCCGGTGGACTCCATGCGCGAGGCGGTATTGACCGTGTCTCCAAACAGGCAGTACCGCGGCATGGTGAGGCCCACCACGCCCGCCACGCAGGGGCCTGTGGAGATGCGGGATGCGCAGGGTTGGTGGGCGGGGCTGCACCTAGAACCTTGGGAGACCCCTGCACCCCATAACTCCACCAGCTCCCCCCATAAACACTATCAAGCTATCCTCTTCAAGGAAAGCTCTCTCCCTGCCCCTATTCCACGAGTTTGCCTCTTATACAGGAAATCTGGAGCTGGGCCCTAAGCTGGGAGGCTGGCTGGGGAGTTACCCGAGTGTAGGCCGATGCGTATGCGCACTGGCACCTCAGGCATATGGCGCATACGAAAAGAGCCCACAGCACTGAGGATGTCCAGCGACATGTTGGCGATCTCTGCCGCGTGCCGCTGCCCATTCCGCTGAGGCAGTCCCGAGGCCACCATATAGGCGTCCCCAATTGTCTCTACCTAGGGGAAGTAGTGGTATGAAATCAGTACTGAGCACCTCTCCCTCCAGTACACTAAGTGATTGTCCTTTGTCAGGAGGCTTAACTGGGAGCCAGGCTGTGACTTGGGGATTGAGCTGAGAACTGAAGAGGTGAGGAACAGGAGGGCTGGGAAAGAGGAATGGGTAGGTGGGCTGGGAGTTGAGCAGGAAGGGCTGGGCTGGAGGTTGGTCAGATGTGCTTGTCGTTTGCACACTCCACCTTGTAGACGTCGTGGGAACCAATGATGGCATCAAAGAGGGTGTAGAGGTCATTGAGCAGATCCACCACTTCGATGGGTTCGCTCATGGCTGAGATGGTGGTAAAGCCCACGATGTCACTGAAGTACAGTGTCACCTCTTCAAAGTATTCAGGCTCTACAGGTGTGCCCATCTTGAGGGCCTCTGCTACAGTTCTAGGGATGACAGGCAGGAAGATCACCTGGGAACTACCCCAGTCTGGCTGTGCTCTACTGCCCTCCCAACCCATGCCTCTTCCCACTGGCACTCACGGAGGCAGCATCTGTGTGAGCAACCGGTCTGTTTTCTGCTTTTCCTGCTCCAGCTCTTCTGTGCGCTCCCGGATCAGGTCCTCCAGGTTACTAGAGTATTGTTCCAGCATCCGCAGCATTGAGTCGATGATGTTGGTCTTACGGCCCTTGTTGATGCTCTTGAACTAGTAGGAGGAAGCTGGTCAAGCTGCTGAAGAGCTGGGCTGTCATGGGCCCTCTTATGGGGCTGTATATTCCTCATCCCCACCACCATTCAGCACCCCTGGAGTGCTGGGCACTGCATTTTCAGACATTCCTAGAAGGCTCATGGGAAATGATTTCCCAGAGGTCAGTTGTTCTCAGCAAGTAATTGACAGGGCATTGGAGCCACCTCAGCCTTTGGAACCCCAGGCCAAGGATCTGTCACAGTAGGCCAAGCACATAGTTGGTTCTCAGTCAATGTTATTTGAATTGAATTGACTGTTTCTCCCACTCAGAACTCTGTCTCCTACTTTAATGGTCTCCACAATCCTACTTCACTCCCATTCTAACTCTGCCCCACCAAACCCCCACGTCCTCAGGCTACCCCTTAGGAGTTAGCCCAGAAGGTCAGAGGTCCTGCCAGTCTGCCTGTCTGTAGCCTTCCCAAGTTGCTAATAAAAATCTGAGATCCCAGTGGCCAGCCCAGCCCTTGCCCAATCCCAAACCCAGCCCCTAACCAGGTAAAAGGTGCGGTCCATGGAGGGCCGAAGGTCTGGCTGCTCTGCCCAGCACTGTTTCATCAGCTGAATACACTCCATGGGTGCCTGATCCATGGACACCAAGGGCCGACACAGCGGAGGAGGGCTCTGCAACCTCTGCACCACTTCTGGAGGCACAAAGGGACCATGATGGGTGGATGTCCCAGAATAGAAGCCATTTCTGACTCTGGCCTGATTGCTAAAGGGGAACTGGCAGGAATTCCTGCAAATTAGAGCTTCAGTGGGTGGGGGAGTATAGTGTAAAAGGGAGGTGCTATGAGGACCAAGAAGACCCTGACCTCTGGTGGTCAGTAAGAGGTGATACAGGCAAAGAAACTAATATTTGGGTCTGGCCTGTAGCTCAACGGCTAGGGCGCCAGCCACGTACACAGGAGCTGCAGGTTTGAATTCAGCCTGGGCCTGCCAAACAATAATGACAACTACAACCAAAAAATAGCTGGGTGTTGTGGTGGGCACCTGTACCCAGCTACTTGGGAGGCTGTGGCAAAAGAATTGCTTAAGCCCAAGAGTTGGAGATTGCTGTGAGCTGTGATGCCACAGCACACTACCCAGGGTGACAAAGTGAGACTCTTTCTCAAAAAAAAAAAAAAAAGAAGAAGAAGAAGAAGAAGAAAAAGAAATAAAGAAAAAAGAAACTAACATTTATTGCATATAGAAAAAGTGAGGGTTAGGTGATTAAGCAACTTGTTTAGAGTTCTGTAGATAAGTGATGCAGATTTGAACCAGATTGGATTTTCCTCCAACCGTCTCCCTATGTCCCTTGTTGTCTCCCTGGGACCCCTGAGAACCAGAGAGGAGCCTGCTCTGTAGGCTGGGGGAGCAGGTTGCGTCCAGGATCAGGTCAGAGGAAACTGTTGAGATTTGGCCTGAAGAGCCACACCTTTCACACTGATGCTTGGCTTTCCACTGCCCTGACCCTTCAGGTTGCAGCTTTAAGGGAGCCCACACGTAATTCTCATCACTAGGCTTTGCTTTAGAACAAAGCGAGAGCCAGGATCTGACGTGGCACTGTCCTAACTGCAGGGTGCTTCTCTGGGCCGAACTCCATGCTACGGAAAGCCTTACCCTCGGGAGTCAGTTCCAGCATGGCGTAGGGGGGGCTGCGGCACACGACCTCCTGCATAATGATGCCCAAACTGAAGACGTCGCCGGCCAGAGTTCCCCGGCGCTCCAGGGCAGGGTCCCTAAGCAGCTCCGGGGCTGTCCACAGCTGGTCTGGGGGTGGGAAATGGGGCGTGGGCACAAAGAGGACCGTGGAGGTGCTGGGGACTCACCAGAAAGCCCGGCTCGCACCCAGGCACTCGCCAACCCTCAGCCTGAGCCCTGCAACTATTCCCAGGAGACACCACCTGAAACCCAATGCCATCTCTAAGCTAGGCTCACAAATAGGCCTCGGCCCCCAGACGAGGAGGTGCCAAGGGAAGACTCCACCTCTTGAACATAGCCCCAGTCCTGGGCAAAATTCCGCTTAAAGTAGACTGGGCAGCACTTGCACCTCAGTAACAAGTCCGGCTCCCCTAGCCTTCCCAGTCACAGAGCCCACATCCGCATCTCTCACAGATCACCAGACCTTTTCAGTAGCTGGAGTCGTGTCTAATGGATGTAAGATGCAGAGTTCCAGGGCAGAGGTAGGGAAAAAAGGAAAGAGGAAGGGAGGGAGGGGTCCTTAAGAAGGTTTCTGGGATGGCGGGGGGATGCTCTTGTGCATGCAAGGCAGTGAGGGACTCCTACCCTCAGCGCTGGGAGGCTCCGGTAGCACCCTCTGTGCTTCCAGCAGTTGCCCATGGCCGTGATCGGTGACCTTGAGCACGAACCTCCCGTCCACTACGCAGTTCCGTGACTTAAGCCTCCCATGAGGTACCCCTCGATGGTGCAGATACCTCATTCCCTTGGAAGGGGTGGGTAAGAGGCAGTCTCAGCCTATGAAGTTCCCCTGTCCCCACCTGCCCACCTCCCATACACCTTCCCACACACACACCTTGATGAGGTCCAGCAGGAGGGAGGACTTGAACATCCAATCCAATTTTATGTCTCTTTGGGCAAGGAGGTCATGGAGGGAGCCCCGTGCACAGTGCTCAGAGACCACAGCCAGGATGTTCTCCCCAGGGGCTGCAGGACCATCTGCTCCCCCAGCCAGGAAGAGCCCCACGTAGAGGGCCACATTCTCATGCCGCAGCTCCCGGAGCTGAGAGGGGGAAAGTTGACAGGCACTTTGTGCGATGGGGGCGATGTGGGGAGGTGGTCGTTATTCAAGATCTATTTTTGAGTATCCAAACTCAGAAAATGGGGTAAAAGTGGTGAATGAAATGGTCTATTGGATGTGGAGGAGGAGCTTTCTTCTACAGATAGTTCTGTCTTTGGAAAAACAGTATAGTCAAAGGTCACTTCAGACGCTGAGTCTGGTTTAGCTTAAGTTATGAATGAAAAGATAACTTCACATTGGTGAGTAAGACCCAGGCAGGTTCTGACTTATTAACCACAAAACTAAACTGCCCTGATCTTTTCCTTTTTTTTCTTTTCTTTTTCTTTTTCTTTTTTTTTTTTTTTTGAGACAGAGCCTCAAGTTGTCACCCTAGGTAGAGTGATGTAATGTCACAGCTCACAGCAACCTCTAACTCCTGGGCTCAAGTGATTCTCCTGCCTCTGCCTCTCAAGTAGCTGAGACTACAGGCACCTGCCACAACACCTGGCTATTTTTGGATTGCAGCCGTCATTGTTGTTTGGTGGGCTGGACTGGATTTGTTTTTGTTTTTTGGGGGTTTTTTTTTTGAGACAGAGCCTCAAGCTGTTGCCCTGGGTAGAATGCCATGGCATCACGGCTCACAGCAACCTCCAACTCCTGGGCTCAAGCGAATCTCCTGCCTCCACCTCCCAAGTAGGGACTACAGGCACCCACCACAATGCCTGGCTATTTTTTGGTTGCAGCCATCATTGTTGTTTGGTGGGCCAGGGCTGGATTCGAACCCACCACTTTAGGTGTATGTGGCTGGCGCCTTAGCCACTTGAGCCACAGGCGCTGAGTCGGCTGGACTGGATTCAAATCCACCAGCTCAGGTGTATGTGGCTGGCACCTTAGCTGCTTGAGCCACAGACTCTGAGCCAACTGCCCTGATCTTAAGGGAAATACCTGGTGAAGAAGAAGCCCCTGGCTGGACCAAGCTGTCCTTCTGATGTAATAGCCTTTGCTGGAGAACCAGGGAGAAGCCCTGTTGCTTTCAAAGGACACAAGAACTGGCTCATGCCTGTGTCATCTCATTGTTTTATCCCATTGTGTTGTCTCTGTGTTATCTCATTGGGTCATACATATCTGAGATTTCCACCCTCCCCAATTTAGGGAACACTGGACTGAGCAGTGAAGCCATGGTCCCAGAGGATCCATCAGTAAGAACCACACCAACTCTGCAGAACAGAGAGCCCTGCAGTCAGGGCTTACTGGAAAATAATAGGTGCTGGCTGGCTGACTGGTGCTTTTTCTAGCTTTTAGTTGGTCCACATGCCCAATAAGAAGCTTCTTTTCATTTTAAATGTCTGGTGTTAAATGATGATCTAGTCTGTTGACCCAGAGGGTACTTCACTAAAGTCATTTTGCTGCTGTGACCAAGAGCTCTTGTGGAGGCATCAGGAAAGAGGGCCAGGGCAAGGATGTGTGGTGTTAGGGGCAAAAGGAGACATTAAAGTTGGAAGGACAAGACTAAGCCAGTTTGTAGCCTCCTTGCTAACTGTCCACCTTATTCAGTAGGTATCATAATATGTAGCTAGGGCCGTTTTGCACAAATGGCCTGACAGAACTAGAAACTCATTTTTTATTTGTATTATTCACTAAATAAATATTCACTGCATTTCTCTAATGTTCTAGATATTGTGTTGGATGCCGGGTATACAATGATGGACATGGGGGAAGCCCTCACTCAACTTACAGTCCAGTGGAGGAGGCACATAAGAAATAAGCAAGCACAGAGATGAAAATACAATTACAAATCTCGATAATAACATCAAAAGGAAGAACTAGAGATAGGAGAGAAACTAATTGGAAACCTGCTCTAGAGTGGAGGGGACACTTAACTGAGACCTACTGCTATACCCAGCTTCAAAGAGGAAGCAAGAAGTGAGGAACCAATGGCCACCCCATACCCCACCAAAGCCCCAAATCTTACCTTGGAGAAGGCCATCTTGGTTGCCGCGCGGATAGCTATGTGCTGATCCCCTGGAAATTTCTTCAGCCAAACCTTGTCCCCCTGCAGCAGAGAAGATGGATTAGGGAACTCAGTCTCCAAAAACTCCATAATTCAAGGTTATGGAGTTCTAAGAGCCTTAGAACTCCCACATTTCCACTGGCCCACTGGCTCAGAACACATCTTCCATGTGAAAAGAGCATCGGAGCAAAGGGTTTGATATCTGCCCATCTTCTTTGCAGCCAGCAGGGTGAGAGGCCTCCCCTGGGTGAGAGAGATGCAGAAGGCCTATGTGGCAGTCCTCACCATCCCAGAGGTTCCCACCAGTAGTCCTAAGTGAAATGTCACAACCACACGTCGTTGACATCATAACCCTCATCACCATCCTTGCCACGAGAGAGCCATTGTGCTGAGACACAAGAATTCGGGTGGATCAGATTTTATCACAAACTATGACCTACAGGCAGCTCCCCTCCAGGTGCTGGGCCTTTTTGTTCCCAGAAGTCAGCAGGACTGGTTCAGGGGCATGTGACTTGTGCAATTACACAGAGCCTCATGTTCAGAAGGGCTTGAGCTTGGTTCAACGATCTGCTGTCATCATCTCTTTCTCTCTCTCTCTCTCTCTTTTTTTTTTTTTTGTAGAGACGGAATCTCACTTTATTGCCCTCGGTAGAGTGTCATGGTGTCACACTGCTCACAGCAACCTCCAACTCCTGGGCTTAGGTGATTCTCTTGCCTCAGTCTCCTGAGTAGCTGGGACTACAGGCTCACACCACAATGCCCAGCTATTTTTTTGTTGCAGATTGGCCAGGGCCAGGTTTCAACCTATCATCCTGGGTATATGGGGCTGGCGCCCTACCCACTGA